ACGGAATTAACGATTCTATTCAAAACAAAACTATTTTTTATAATGCTAATTCAATAAGTCAATTAAAAGAAGCTTTGCGAAAATACGATATAATGAAACAAAATACATCTGTAAGTCCTAATACATCAGTACAAAACAAAAGACGAGATTTTGCAAGTTCAGCATCGAATAAAATCACAAAAGCTCCAATGAAATGTTATAATTGCAATCAAGAAAGTCACGTTTTTGCTAAATGTCCACAACCCAGGCGACAAAAGGGTTCTTGTTACCGTTGTGGGAAATTTGGCCATCTGGCAACCAGTTGTCCTGAGCATTCCATCAGCGTAATCGAGAATTTTCACAATTTTAGTCCAAATCATAACTTCGAAAAATTTATTAACTTTATTTTTCTTTTATCTAATCAAGCGAAAATAAACTACCATTTACTCACTTTATTGGACTCGGCAAGCACCATCAGTCTAATACAGGGAAATTTTGTTATGCCAGCAGCAAGAGAAAGTGGATCCAGACAAATTTAAATTTTATGGAATCAATAAGAGTAGTTTGTATGTAATATTTATTACAAAGGTAAAAATTGAATTTAAAAATTTATTTTATGATTTGAAATTATATGTAGTTAAAGAAAACTCAATGTCGTACCCTATAATTTTAGGTAGATTTTTTCAGCAAATGTGATTTGGAACTTGCTGAAGTAAAGGATAATTTTGAAAATGAAAATATTGCAGGTATGGTAATAAATAGTAAAAAACAAGTGTATACAGGTACGAAAATTTATGATATTGAAAATGAAAAATTCCTTAGCGAAATTGTGCATTGATGTTACTGGCCAAAATGACAAAAATGATTTAAATTTAAACATTAATATAGATTTTGAGTTAGTCTTTTGAGTGTATTTTTATCTACCGGGTCTGGTGTGTTTGCGTCTTTTTTTGCTTAGCATATTGAGTATTTCTCTCGTGTTCTTTCTCTACCTTAGGATCCGAATTATCTTGGATTTGTACTTTAATTCTTAAGTTAACTTTATTCTCTATTTCTTCTTTAAAACTAGTCCAGTCAGTGGATTTATTATTCAACATTGGCTTATTTTATTTCTTGGTAACTGTCTCAGTTAATTTAATATAACTACAGAATGACCCGAATCCAAATCATAGTTATCTTCTAAACTAATGAAATTTGGCGAGATTTCTTTGACAGTAAAGAAGTCTAGCAGATCTGGATTTTATTTCTATCACTTGGCCAATATGTTCATCCACCAGTGGATTGGTAGTGACAACAAATCCCTTTGATAGCTTCTCGTAGCTCTCTTCCCCTTATTGAGGTCAATTTAGAACTCCAATCAATATGTTTGGCATTAACATCACCTCCTAGAATGAACCTTTCTTTAAGGAGATTCCGGAGACTTTTTATTACACGTCCCGGAGGACAGTAATGTACACTAACATCGAAATTTTTTTATTAGACTCTATTCGTACAGCAACAAATTGGCTATCGTCTCTTTCTCCTTTAATTATTTCATTACGTTTTATGTTATTCCTTATCAAAATAGCGCAACCATCTTTTGATTCATTATTAGGATTCGCAGCGTTATATTCTATGTAACCATATATTGTAATATCTGTTTACTGCTTTAAATGTGTCTCCGTTACTAAACATATATGAATACTTTGGTTCCTTAGGAATATTTCTAATACACGATTTTTATTAAGAACGCCGTTTGCGATCCAAGTCGCAAATCTAATTTTTTCTTCGTCGATTATATTTTATACTTTTTTGCGTACAAACGAGTACATAAACATTATCATGATTATCTTCTAATCTATTCAATTTCAATGAGATTTTGTTCATAGTTTTTATCATATTTTGCATCATTTGCATTATATTTATATTGCTTTCAGCAGGTTTTTGAGGAGGTAAATCTCTTCGTTCTTTGCTATGGTTATTTGTTTCACCCCTCGCCACTTGGGCATATTGTATGCACTCTTTTACTCAACGTAGTTATTTTTGGGGTTTTTGAAGTTTTGGCAGTAGTTTTTGGTATTATTTTTATTTGTTTCTGTTCTACAAAATTATTTTTCTTTTTTTGTAATTTCTTTGCGACTATACAGCCCACTTGACAGTAACTTGAATTGAGCTAGACGCTGGCAAAAATAATTTTAAAGCTCCTGTCTTTTAGCCCATTTTTAATATTTTCAGGTTGGCATGAAGGATGCAAGCCTCTAGCCATTACATTGATGGGTCTTGTAATTTTATTTTAGTAGGTATGCCACTCTACTTTAGATTCCTTTTGCGAGTGCACTTCTCACCATAGAAATAATGGTCTGAGATATAGACTCAAGCATATATTTTTGATCAGCTTCGAATTCTGAATTCCTATCGTCCGTCTATCTATCCGTCTATCGCAACGGATATATATCCGTCCTATCCGTCCGTCGCAACGATAACTGAGCTAAGTTCACTAACTGTTCAAAAATGATTTAATATATTAAATGCCAGAACGCAATTTAAATTGGATATGATTGAGGTTCGGGTAACTGCTCTATAACTTCAAAATTTATTAAGCTATATATATCTCAGAAATTATAGAGGCCATGTTATTTAAATTTAGCACCGGGTAAATATATTACTAGAGCTATTCTGTTTGGTGAAAGTCGTTAAACTTTTTTTATTCCCTTGAAAAATTATTGGGCTATATCTAAAAAACTGTTCTACCTACAGTACTGAAATTTCGACAAAACAAATATGGTAAAATGGCAGCTTTATTTGTTAAAAACTATTGAGACGTTATTAGCGCTTGCGATAGCTGCCATACACCTAAAATGTTATTTGGCCATATCTGAGAACTTAGTGAGGGTGTACTTTTAAAAATTTGCACAAGCAAATATATTATTAGGGCGACTATGTTTGATAAAAGCCGTTGAAATTTCTCTTGTGGTAGGTTCCATACAACTCCATAGATAGCTTGATCATAGTTCAGAAATTATTGAAGCTGCAAAGCTGAAATTTTGAATAATTTTTAGTAAAATTCCTTTAGATCGGATTGGTTTATATGGTATCTACAACTTATGTATAAAATAGCATATACATAAGTATAAATTAGCTCCGACATTTAAAATCATTTATTCATACGAGTATCACAGAGTTAACACGGCCAACTATATCTATTCTCGTTTAAAATAAATTTTATTTTACAATTTTTCTTTTTGGTGTATAAAAAGAAAACTCCTTTTTATTCAGAATAAATTACTTTAATTTTGTTAAAGTAATTTATTCTGAAATCTATTAAAATTAGAAATATTATATCTGACTTAACCTAATTTGTTTATCTGATTTTTTGGTATTAATTATGGTCTAATCCATAAAACTGGTATAATTATTAATTTAAAAAGCCAAGTAGCCGCTTTACCTTCGCCCATTATCAGAAGTCATTCCTTGTTTGAATTGTATGTCTACATGCTTTCATGAACTTCTTTCCTGTGTTTTCCTTTCACCTCCTTTAATACCTTGAAGTTATCTTCCGTAATTATCCGTAAGTTGTATCCGCATTACAAGTCTTGCAAGTATTATATCTGTCGTTTTAAAATTGTAAACAATTTGTAATTATGAATAATAGGTAATATAAATATTATTTGTATTGTGTAATGTACATACATGCAAAATTCAAGTAAAGAATGATTATGCATTAAACTAGTTTGATATACAGTTCATTTCTCGTACGATCTTTATTGAGTTAAGGCTTATGAATTAATTATAAATTTTATTGTGAACTTTTAAGAAATTAAAGAATAATTATTATTGTATTATATGAAATATGAAATATTATTAAAATTTAAGTAAATAATTAAATCAAAGTATTAAATCTTTTATTTAAAAATTTACTACAAAATCTTAGAAGTGGGACAGTATCCCAAATTATAATACATAATTTAAAAGTTTTTTTTCGAGAACATTATTTTAAAATATTAATTGCAAATTTATATGGACGTAAATTAAATAGAAACACGTGCCCTTTTAATTTAATTTAATAAGTAAATTTATATATAAAATTTTATATATGAAATTTTATAAAATTATTATATGTATATGAAATTTTATTGAAATTATCAGAAGTACATGTGCCTACGTACATAATATACGAAATAATAAACATTTATGAAAAATAAAATTTATTTTATACCTGCTTTGATATTTGCGATAAAAGAAAAAAATTATTAGAAAAAGAATAACTACCTAATTAATTTTACCTGGTCACATTTCTTGGAAGAATTTTTTTTCATATTGACTTTAATTTTGTATGTACAAGTATATGTATATCAAGAGAAAAAATTAACATTTTAAATCTTTAAGAAACTAGTCGATCATAATAATTAAAAGTTAATATTAAATATTATTGAATTTACGGCGATAATTTAATTTGATGTAAGTAAATATTTTGGAAAAAATTTTTATTAAAATGAATGATCGAGTAGAAAAATCTCTTAATGGAACCAATTACTTTACATTGAAAGAAAAGTTACGAGATTTAGGACTGCAAACATGAGGTAGTAAGGCTGAATTATTTCAAAGGCTACGTAGTGGAATAGAAAGTTTAACACCAGAAATGGTCGATAGGTATGTTGCAGGCTGTTTAAATGAAAGCGAAACTAATCAAGATAGTGACGAAGGTGTAGATGAAATTTTACATAATTTAACAGAGTAATTTCACGACAGAGTAATTTAGATAATGAATTGGAGTAACCAAGAAAACAAGTACAGAAGAAACAGGAAATTTTTAAACTAAGAAAGCAATTGGCTGAGTTGACCGTAAGCGAAAATGAACTCAACATTGCTACTCGCGCAAATTTTAATCATAGTTTTTATTTTAAAGATTCAGTTCCACAATTCAGTGGCGACGACAAATACAATATTAAATCATGGATTCAACATTTTGAAGAAGCACCAGAAACACTTTGTTGGAATGATAAAATACGTTTCGTATATGCTCGCCGGCTCATGACGGGAACTGCTAAGATGTTTTTAAGTACCGTTTTCATAAAAACGTATGAACAACTAAAAATTGCTCTAATTAACGAATTTGAAAGAAAAGTTTCTAGTGCTGAAGCACATAACGAATTAAGTAATCGGAAAAGAAAACAAAATGAGGGCTGGCAACAGTATCTTTTTTTAATGCAAGAAATTGCATATTCTGCTAATATAGACGACAGTAATCTCATCCAGTACGATATTAACGGAATTAACGATTCTATTCAAAACAAAACTATTTTTTATAATGCTAATTCAATAAGTCAATTAAAAGAAGCTTTGCGAAAATACGATATAATGAAACAAAATACATCTGTAAGTCCTAATACATCAGTACAAAACAAAAGACGAGATTTTGCAAGTTCAGCATCGAATAAAATCACAAAAGCTCCAATGAAATGTTATAATTGCAATCAAGAAAGTCACGTTTTTGCTAAATGTCCACAACCCAGGCGACAAAAGGGTTCTTGTTACCGTTGTGGGAAATTTGGGCATCTGGCAACCAGTTGTCCTGAGCATTCCATCAGCGTAATCGAGAATTTTCACAATTTTAGTCCAAATCATAACTTCGAAAAATTTATTAACTTTATTTTTCTTTTATCTAATCAAGCGAAAATAAACTACCATTTACTCACTTTATTGGACTCGGCAAGCACCATCAGTCTAATACAGGGAAATTTTGTTATGCCAGCAGCAAGAGAAAGTGGATCCAGACAAATTTAAATTTTATGGAATCAATAAGAGTAGTTTGTATGTAATATTTATTACAAAGGTAAAAATTGAATTTAAAAATTTATTTTATGATTTGAAATTATATGTAGTTAAAGAAAACTCAATGTCGTACCCTATAATTTTAGGTAGATTTTTTCAGCAAATGTGATTTGGAACTTGCTGAAGTAAAGGATAATTTTGAAAATGAAAATATTGCAGGTATGGTAATAAATAGTAAAAAACAAGTGTATACAGGTACGAAAATTTATGATATTGAAAATGAAAAATTCCTTAGCGAAATTGTGCATTGATGTTACTGGCCAAAATGACAAAAATGATTTAAATTTAAACATTAATAGGGATCTTTCGCATAAATACGTAGATCGGGTTAGACAAATTATGTTACCGGCAAAAGGTCTTCTTGCAAAAAAAGATATATTTGTGGTTTGTGAAAATGAAGAATTTGAAATGGATATTCTTTCGACCGAACATGAACCTTTTTTTTGTACACCGCGAAGGTTGCTATATTCCCATAAATTAGAATTGGAAAGAATATTAAATGATCTTTTAAGGCGAAATATTATACGTGATAGTGGTTCACCATATGCTTCCCCAATAGTACTCGTAGCGAAAAAAAATAAAGAATTGCGTTTGTGTGTCGACTATCGCGAATTAAATAAAATAACAGTAGGAGATAATTTTCCATTACCGTTGATAGAGGACCACCTTGACAGACTTAAGGGGAAAAAATATTTTTCCATCATTGATTTGAGGGGTGTTTTTCACCACGTAAAAATTTTTGAAAACTCTATTAAGTACATTTCTTTTATCACCCCTCTCGGGCAATTTGAATATTTAAGGATGCCGTTTAGCTTAAAAAACGCCTCGGTAGTTTTTGAAAGGCACATGAAAAAAATATTTAGATCATTAATTTCAACTGGTAAGGTATTAAGCTACATTGACGATTAAATGATTGCTATGGAGATTTTGGACGAACGTTTTGAAGTTTTAAGTGACGTTGTTGATATTTTAAAAGAAAACTCTTTGAAAATTAGACTCGATTAATGCTCTTTTTTAATGGAACAAATTGTTTACTTGGGTTATAAAATTACTTGTAATGGTATTCTACCAAATGACGATAATTTAAAAGCGATAAAAGAGTTTCCTACACCCACTTGTATAAGATTTTTGCAGAGTTTTTTGGGTCTTTGTTTCTATTTTAGGAAATTTATACGGGATTTTGCCTAATGCAAAAACAGGGGGATGCCTAATGCAAAAACATTTTCATCCTGTGGCCTATTTTTCAAAAAGGACTTCAGAGGCTGAGAAGAACTATCACAGTTACGAATTTGAGACATTAGCAATAATTTATGCACTGCGTAGGTTTCAAATTTATTTAGTTGGTATTAGGTTTAAAATTATTACTGATTGTCAATCTTTGGCCCCTAGTTTAAATAAGAAACATACAAATCCTCGTATATCGCGTTGGGCTCTGGAACTACAAAATTTCGATTACGTAATTGAACATCGAAGCGGGGAAAGAATGGCTTATGCTGATGCGTTAAGCAGGGCAACAAATGTTTTGTATGTGGAGGAATATGTGTTGGCAACAAATGTTTTGTTCTTTTGAATATGTGTTGGCCGCGTCTCAGAGGCAGGATCCAGATATTGCTGCAGTGGCTTTAGATTTGGAGAAAAATAAAAGTTCTTTATTTGAAATGGTAGACGGATTAATATACAGAAAATGTGCTGATGGAATAAAATTTTATATGCCAAAAGTTATGGAAAGTCGTGTAATTCAGACAAATCATGAGGCTATGTGCTATCTTGGCGTTGATAAATGCTATGAAGAATTAAGACGAACATACTGGTTCCCCAACATAAAAAATAAAATTGGTGATTATATAAAGTATTGTCTTCAATACGCTTATTTCTCTCCAAACTCGGCCAAAAAAGAGGGTACGCTTCATATTATATCGAGAGGAAATTTTCCTTTTGACACTTTTCATATTGACCATTTGGGTCCTTTGGCTAGTTCCACATCTCGCCGAAAACATATTTTTGTTATTATTGATTCTTTCACTAAATTTGTTAGGCTTTTTCCTGTTAAAAGTACCGATAGTGCAGATACAATTAATGTTTAAAATTTCGATAGTTATAGTAGGCCGAACAGGACGATATCAGACCGTGGGACTTTTTTCACTTCGAAAGAGTTTTCAGATTTTATGGTGGAGAATAATATACAACATATAAAAATTGCGACAAAGACGCCTCAGGCAAACGGACAAGTTGAACGAGTCAACCGTATACTTATACCTATGTTATCAAAAGAAGTTGAGGCTGATTCTACTATAAAATGGAATCAATATTTACCGAGGGTGGAATTTGCTATTAATAACACTATTAATCGTAGTACGGGATTTTCACCAAGTATGTTATTGTTCGGTGTGAATCAAAAGGGGAAAGTTTATGAAAGGGTAGCTGAATTTATAAGAAATCAAGTAAATCAGGAAGACACGACAGATATTTTGAATTTACGAAAACAGGCTGAAATTAATATTAAATCAAATCAGGATTATAACAAAAAATATTACGATGCACTACATAAGAAACCGCGTATCTATAAAAAGGGTGATTACGTTTTGTTAAAAAATAATAGTGCACTACCAGGTGTCAATAAAAACTATTTGCAAAATTTCGCGGTCGGTACGAAATAGAAAAAATTTTAGACAATGATCGCTATATCGTAAAAGATATTGTAGGTATGCAAATCTCACTTATTCCCTATAGAGTGGTGTGCTCCCCTGCAAACATGAGAAAATTTTATGTTGATTCGCAAAATTAAGCTTGCTTGAAAGTTCCAGTTTCCATTTGATTTTCTTTTTGAAATATTGTATATTGTAATGTATGTAAATAAAAAAAAAAAGAGGATAAGTTTAATTTATGAAGCAATATTGAGTTTATCGAATTCAAAAAACATTTTAGTTCCACATTAAATTTTTGTTAAGTATTTTTACAATTAATTATGAAAACTTATGGATACAAAACATTTTGAAAAGAAAAATATAGTATAACATACAAATAAGCAATTATAAGAATATAAAATTTATTATGAGTCACCTTATGGAAACAATTTGTTTCACTAATTATGATAAGTATTATGCATTAGTAGTATAATATGACAGATATTAATTAATATTGTTTATGATTATGAATTATGAATTTAAAAAGAAAAAAATTTAATGTACATAAGTATTTTATGTATATGTATATGAAAAGAAATTTTTTGAATGATCGAGTCGATCATTAAATCAGGTTGGCCGAACTGTAAGCAATTTGTAATTATGAATAATAGGTATTATAAATATCATTTGTATTGTGTAATGTACATGCAAAATTGAAGTAATGAATGATTATGCATTAAACTAGTTTGATATACAGTTCATTTCTCTTACGATCTTTATTGAGTTAAGACTTATACATTAATTATAAATTTTATTGTGAACTTTTAAGAAATTAAAGAATGATTATTATTGTATTATATTAAATATGAAATATTATTAAAATTTAAGTAAATAATTAAATCAAAATATTAAATCTTTTATTTAAAAATTTACTACAAAATTATGTTCAATTCTGTGTATGAAATATTTTAGGTTTACTTTTTTTTCTTCAAAACGCAACAGTAACATACATATAGAAGTTTTTTTTACTAATAAATAATAGCATAAAACTTAAAATAAGAAAAGCTCTTAAAAATAACTACACAAAAGTACATAATTAAACAAGTGACTGGCTCCATTTAAGATCTAATATATTTTGAGTAATATATTTTAGAACCTCACTTTGAGTTGTGTCGCTTAGAATCGTAAATTACTGTTGACAATAAGCACTTTAATGATCAATTATTAAATACGCATAAATTAATTCGCTACTAATTATAATCTAATGTACATATGAATTTAAATTCTGCGATACATCCCAGTTTTGAACTCTGAAAAATGCGAAATTATCAAACGAACCTTATTTTAATTGATAATTTTATTCTTTTTTTGTTCTTCTTTAAAATTAAATTAAAAAAGTTTTACACTTACAAATCAATATCAGCGAGTTTTTAACGAAAAATGACATTTTCTTATTTAATATTGTCTTAAAAATGTAACGTACTGCCAAGAAATTTAAAGTACACTTATGTTTTGCTAATTAATACATTTTGCAGCAGATCTCGAAAAGAATACGAAACTAAGCGCGTACGAACATACTTATCATAAAACAATGTAGATTTCATTAACTTTAACAATTTTCTTAAGAAAGTGTTCACCTCATACGTGCAAAAATTTATTCATACACAACATTTACATTACCAAAAGTAAAAAAAAATTACCCCCATAAGATGTAGAACCATTTTGTAAAAAATGGTCTTGGAAAGGGGTGAAGGGAGAGGGTAGGTGAAAGTTTAGTTTTTGGCGGGTGAAATTTAGGAACCCTACATGCAAAACCCTATCTAATGTCTTTTGTCCCGTGTCTATAGCCATTCTAGAAGTACCCGTATATTTTCACACCTCTGAAGTTTTTTCCTTTTTTTTTGTGCCGTGTGGAGGGTGAAAATCTCGACGAAAAGCTAAATGAAAGAGCAGAAAGATGGAACTGTAACCCACTAAAAATACCCACCCGATTTAACCAATAAAACTAGTCTAAAATGACTAACCGTTAATTTTGGTCCGACTTTTTAAAATTTCATTTGTTTTTGATCTGTCACAACGTCGTACTAGGTACTTGTTGTTTCAGATAAAAACATTAAGTTAACTCGAGAGGTCTCGTACGTTTGAGTTTCCCAACAAAGTTTTGATTGTCAACCAGACGAGTCGCCTCGACGTTGACATGTTGGAATAAACGAATTTTATGATTAGCTGCTTGCTTATTAATTTCGTCTTTGACACTAGGGATTTCGTCTTGATTGGCTGCTTACTTATTAGTTTCGTCTTTTTCGTCAATTTCACTAAACAACAAAAAAATCAATGTGTCTTTAATA